TAGAAATGACAAGGAATGGAAAACGGAACGTAAAACGACTTTTCAAAATTTTTGAAACTGGGTTCTCCGCTCAAGCACAGATTTGGTCGAGCAAGACTTTCGTCGCTCAACTTTTCAAAACTTCTAGGAACTAAATTTTCACGCTCAAGCAAGACTTTCATCGCTCGAGCGGACAGGTCGAATTCTGGAATTTTCACAATTCTGTTTGAAGTCCAAAACACACTCCCAACGACCCAAAGCTTTCAAATTGACACCAAAACATGGGAACACATTGTCTATCATGTGAAGAAAGGTAATTTGAAACCAAATGGGCTAAAATCATGGTCTATTCCCCAAATCGTTTCAAGTTTTTCTTGCCAATTTCAAAATTAATGCAATCATGTTTCATACCTTCATGACTCATGCATGCATGTAAATTATTGACTCTAATTTCATTTCAAATGGTACAAATGATGCTCAAAATCATGAAGCTCCACAAGATTATGCATGCATATGTGATTTGGTACTCAGTTCTTCATTATTATTCATATTCATGGTAATCCTCTACATGCATGGGGATATTAACTTCAAATTCATCACACACCATTCAAATCTTGTTCTTGATTACCAATTCTCTTTGAATTCACATAATTGTAGGCTTAAACTCATGGATTAAGGCTTGGTTACTCACCTAGAAGCTCCAATCCTTCTAATTATAGCTAAGTCTTAAGGTAATCCACCTAGTTCTTGAACTCCTTTGCAAAAATCTTCAAGGATGAGCCCTCTCTCTCTAAATTTGGCCTACTCTCTATCTCTCTCTCTGTCTAGAGGTGTATTTTAGATTTTGAGCTCAAAGGAATAAACTCAAGTGTGTAAAGGCCACTTATATATGCTTGCCTAATCAAGTTTGATTAAGGCTAAGTAATTATGCTTAATTTAATCAACTCAATCTAATTATTTTGATCCCAACCAATTTTAATTAAATTCCACCGTAAGCTTTAAAAATCACGCTAATCACAATGGTACAAACAATTTCACTTTCTAACGCCTCTATAACCTTCGATTTAAATTTTGTAATAGAAAAACGAACATATTTTCCTACGGTAAATAGATAAGAATTGAGGAACACATATAATCATATAATTAGCACCCAAGATCATATCAAGCGTATAATTATAAGCGCATTTAGGATTAATTAGCATAACACAGGGTAGGGTTGTCACATTCTTGCCCCCTTTAGGAAGTTTGGTCCTCCAAACTTATTTTACCTCCGTCCGGAAACAAATATGGATAGCGTAGTCACATCACATCCTCTTTTTCCCATGTAGCGTCCTTTCCATAGTGTTCCTTCCATTCTACCTTCACCATTGGAATGGACATATTTCTCAACTATTTCACTTGCCGGTCAATGATTCATTCTGGCCATTCTTCGTATTCCATATTTTCATCAAGAGCTATCAGGTGATAATCATTCACATGAAATAGACCTCGAAGATAACCCCTCAACATCAATACGTGGAACACATTATGCTTTTGTTCGAATCCCGGTGGCAAAGCAACCCTATAAGCAACTAGATCAAGCCTTTCTAGAATTTGAAACGGCCCAATCTAATGAGGTCAAATTTTACCTTTCTTACTGAATCTCAATTGGCCTTTCATCGAAATCACATGAATAAATACATGGTCGCCAACCTCATACTCAAGAGGCCTTCTTTGTACATCCGCATAATTCTTTTGCAGCTCTGTGTGGTCTTGAGCCTTTGCTGGATGATTTTAATCTTCCCAGAAGTGTCTTGCACAATTTCGGGCCCAAGTAAAGCTCTATCTCTGGCTTCTATCCAACAAATTAGCGATCTACATTTGCTGCCATATAAAGCTTCGTATGGTGCCATGCCGATGCTAGAGTGGAAACTATTATTGTATGCAAATTATGCTAGTGGCAAATAGTCTTCCCAACTCCCTTAAAATTCTAAAGTACACATGCTGAGCATATCTTCCAAAGTTCGCGTGGTTTGTTCTGATTGCCCGTCTGTCTGTGGATGGAATGCGGTACTGAATCTTAGTTCTGTTCCCATTGCCCTTTGCAAGCTTTTTCTCAGGCTAGATACAAATTTCGGTTCTCTATCCGAGACAATAGATACCGGAACTCCATGTAAACGAACAATTTCATGTATATAGTAGGTAATCAATAAGCATCAAAAACAGTCTACATAGGCAGAAAATGCGCAAATTTAGTCAGTCTATCAACTATAGCCCAAACGGAATCCATACCTCTCGCAATTCGAGGTAGGCCGACAACAAAGTCCATGGTTACATGCTCCCACTTCCATTCCGGAATAGGGAGAGGTTGAAGAAAACCACCTGGTTTTTGGTGTTCGACCTTAACTTGTTGACACTGAAGGCACTTAGACACATATTTTGCAATTTCCTTCTTAATTTTGGGCCACCAATAGCTTTTGTTTAAGCCCCTGTACATTTTGTTATTACCCAAATGCATAGCAAACATTGACTTGAGAGCTTCATCCAAGATTCTCTTCTTTAGTTCAGGAATGCTTGGAACACACAGTCGGTTTTAGAATTGCAACACTTCATTATCAATGCTGAATTCTAATTTCGGATTTGTTTCAAACTCATCAATTATTTTCTTGAGGAACTTATCCTCTTTTTGCCTTTGCTTGACTTCATTAACTATTGCTGGCTTAGCTGAAATGGCGGCTATCAACCCGGCTTTTTCGTGTAACACAACTTCAATCTTGGTTCTCTCAAAATCTTACAAGATTTCCTTTTGTTTAGTAAGTAAACAAGCTAAACTCCTCATCAATTTTCTGCTCAAGGCATCAACAACTGTATTGGCTTTCTTGGGGTGATACTGAATCAGAAGATCATAATCTTTTATTAGTTCAAGCCATCTTCTCTGCTACATGTTCAACTCTTTCTGAGTAAAGAAGTACTTCAAACTTTTGTGATCCGTGTGGACTTCGCATTTTGTCCCATACAAGTAATGCAACAAAATTTTCAAAGCAAATACAACTGCGGCCAAATCCAGGTCATGTGTTAGGTAGTTCTTCTCATGTAGTCTTAATTGTTCGGAAGCATAAGCAATTACCCGTCCTTCCTGCATTAGTACACATCCCAGACCTTTAGAAGATGCATCGCTACAAATCACAAAGTTTTCTGTACCTGTGGGCAATGTTAACACTGGTGCAGAAGTCAATCTTGTTTTTAGTTCTTGGAAGGCAGACTCTTTTTCATCATTCCATTCAAATGGTTGTCCTTTGTGTGTCAGTTGGGTAAGAGTACAACTATTTTTTGAAAAGTCCTTCACAAACCTTCTGTAGTACCCAGCTAAGCCCATGAAACTACGGACTTCTATTACATTTGTTGCTGTAGGATAGCTTACAATTGCCTCTACCTTCTATGGGTCTATCGAAATCCCATCTCTATTAGTGACATGCCCTAAGAAAACAACTTCATCCAACCAAAACTCACATTTCTTTAATTTAGCAAATGACTTCTTCTCTCTGAGTGTTTGCAAGACGGTTCTCAAATGTTGTTCATGTTCAAGTCTACTCTTTGAATTTATCACAATATCATCAATAAAAATTACAACAAATTCATTGAGGTAAGGCTTAAAAATTCGATTCATAAGATCCATAAATACTGTAGGGGCATTAGTTATGCCAAACGACATGATAAGGAATTCATAATGACCACACCTCGTTCTGAATGCAGTTTTCTCAACATCTTCTGCCTTTACCTTCAACTGGTGGTGCTTGGATCTCAAATCAATTTTAGAAAATACTTGTGAGCCCTACAACTAATCAAACAAGTCGTCAATAAGGGGTAAAGGGTATTTATTCTTCATCGTTACCTTGTTCAATTCATAGTAGTCAATATACAGGCACATGGTTCCATCTTTCATTTTCACAAATAATACCGGTGCACCCCATGGTAAAGTACTTAGGCAAACAAACGCTTTATCAAGTAAGTCTTGCAATTATTCTTTCAATTCTTTCATTTCAGCAGTAGCCATTCTGTAGGGGGTTTTTGTGATAGGCTGAGTGCCTGGTACAATATCAGTAGTAAACTCTATCCCTATCAACCAATTCCCCTGGCAATTCATCTGGGAATACATCTGGAAACTCACTAACAATAGGGATACTGCTCAATTCAACATTCATAGATTGTTTAGATAATACACAACATAAGTAACCTTGGCACCATTTCCTGATTAATTTACATGCTTTCATTGTAGATATCAAATAAGGTGGAGGCACTACCCTGTTACCTATAAACATAATTTCTTCCTGCCATAGTGGTCTAAATACAACTCGTTTCGTTACACAATCAATAGTGGCATAGTATTTAGATAACCAGTCCATGCCCAGAATTATATCAAAATGTATAAAGTCCAAGGGTAATAGATCTACATACAAAGTAGCATTCCCAATATGCATATCACAAAATCGACACACAGATGTACACAACACGGATTCCTCAGATGGAGCAGATACACATAACAAATATGGAAATGATTCTAGAGGTCTACTCAATCTAGATGCAAATGAAAAAGTTACAAAGGAGTGCATTGATTCGGAGTCAATTAACACAAATGCATCCTGATTACATATAAAGATAGTACTTGAGACGATGTCTTATGTGTTCCATGTATCGCCCGGAACGAGTGCAAATACTCTTCCTTGCCTCACGATGTCTCCTGTGGTAGTAGGCCTCGTAGTGTTTCCTGGTTTTGGGATCAATGTAATTGAGCTAGCAGCTAACTTCCTAATGTTTAGATTACAATCCCTGACCATATGCCCTGCTTTACCGCACTTAAAGCAGGCCCCTGAAACACGGTAGCAAACCCCGCAATATCTTTTACCACATTGGTTGCACATTGGAGACATATCTTTGGAAGAATTTGAAGTGCTTGAGGAGCCCGTATTCTGTTTCTTTGAAAAGAAGCCCTGCCTCTTACTTTTCCAATTAGTTGCCGATTTACTCCGTCTGGCTATGTTAGCTTATGATATTATGGCCCGATCTAGCACATCAATATAGGTTTCTAGCTTTAGTACATTTACTTTCTCTAAGATATCATCTAGAAGACCTCCTTCAAAGTGTCTCACTTTCTTATAGTCTGTATCAACCATGTGTGGTGCAAATCTGGCTAATTTAGTAAACTTGGCCTTGTACTCGGCTACTGTCATGTTGTTTTGCTTAAGTTCCATGAACTCCAACACTTTCCTGTCACAAACACATTGTGGAAAGTATTTGTCATAGAAAATTTCCAAGAACCGTGCCCAGCCAATCTCTTTATGGCTTTCACGCATCAACATCCACCACTTTCTCATTTCATCTTCTAGTGTAACGGTGGCTAGCAATACTTTATGTGTTTCTAGACAAGGAAACACTTCAAATAAATTCACTATGCCAAGGATCCATGCTTCAGCCTTCAATGGCAATCCCCCATGAAATTGTGGCAATTTCATTTCCTTAAACTCTTTGGTGAGAGCTATTGTTCAGTTATCATTCTGTAGATCTTGTGTAGGCGATACCGGAGGTGGAGGCGGAAGGTGTGGCTGTCACCACTGCTGCTACCACTATTGTTGTTGTCTAAATGTTTCTGCCATATCCTGTATTAATCTTTCCATCCTATCCATTCTGGTAGTAAAGGACTCCTCTAATTCATCACCTCTTGTTCTCACCATTATCTGATTAAACTTGCATTGTTCTTTATTCAAAATGTTCACAAGTATGCATATATCAACATGCATATATATTCAAGTAATCACCATGCAAGCAAATCAAAAAGCATATAGCACATAGTCATTCATTTCAAAACATTTAAGCATATTTTCAATGTCTTCAAGTTCATACTTATCACATGAATCCATCCTAGAACTTTTCTGGACGCTTATTACTCATTTGGACAAGTGTGTGAGTTATTAACTCGTACTTTGATATCACTTTGTCATGACCCGAACCCGCCCTTATGGATTAAGGTCATAACTGGCCAGTAATCATGAGATTACCTACAGCCTCATTCTTTTTTAAACATGTCTCAATAGAAATAATTGGGGCCAAACGGAAGCAGACTTCAAAGTTTTGTCCAATGAGTTGTGCTTATATGGCATAGCAAAATTTAATTCAAAAGCATTCCATAATAACTCACATATACGGACAAAATTAACATCTTGCAACATCTTGTACATCCAGGAACTTCAAAGATGTAGTCAGCCAAACAAAAGTTTATGCACATAGGTGATCCAATGTATTCACCAAGGTAGCAAAAAAGGTAAACAAAAGAACAAAAAACAAAGTCTCGTGCATGAGACGTTCGGGCTGACTTCACAAAAATGTGGATTTCTCTCACATCCTCCGCTGAGGTTCACTGAGTCTGGGTTTAGATATCTCTTTGCTCACCTACATATATATAGATAAGAGTGAGCGAAAGGCCAGTGAATAATACCAAGGTAAAGAGGTTATATGAATCAGATTTTCTAATAAGTAATGTTCTTCTTAAACACGTCAAATGTCCTTAGGGCCATTCATACTCTTATCAAATATGTCAAACGGCCTCAGGCCCAAACATATCAAATGACCTCTGGCCCATCATATCAAATGGCCTAGGGCCCAATTCATCCATATCAAACGGCTTCGGGCCCAATTCACTCATGTCAAATGGCCTCGGGGCCAATTCATTTATATCAAACGGCCTCTGGCCCAATTCATTCATGTCAAACGGCCTTGGTCCCAATTCATTCATGTCAAACGGCCTCGGGCCCAATTCATTCAAGTCAAATGGCCTCGGGCCCAATTGATTCATGTGAAACGGCCTCGAGCTCATTAATTCACATTCATATTTGTGCATATTTCATATTTGCAATCATAATCATATTCATAGTCAAACGGCCTTAGGCCCGTTGATATCCATATCAAATATAACAAATGACCTCAGGCCTAATTAAATTATATCAAATGGCCTCGAGCCCAATTCATGTTCTTCAGAGACCTTGTACAAAAATTTGGCCTATAGAATACTCATTCATAATTCAAACCAACAGATCTTTGAAACTTATATAGAAGTAGCATTTGAGAAGTAACATACTTGAAAATATATGTACTAAGATATTACTCACAATGTTTTGTTGATGGATTTGCTCTCGTGCTTGACCCTACACATTTCATAACACATTGGGTCACGAACAATTCAATCCATTCTTAACTTATTATTTCCCTTAGGCCTCTTTCTTATCTCTTTTGTTCATAACACATTGGGTCACGAACAATTCAATCCATTCTTAACTTATTATTTCCCTTAGGCCTCTTTCTTATCTCTTTTGTTCATTTACAATGCTCAATGCATGCCTAAGAGTGCCTAGAAATGAAAGAGAACGGAAAACGGAACGTAAAATAACTTTTCAAAATTTCTGAAACAGGGCTCTCCGCTCAAGCGCAGATTTGGTCTCTCCAGCGGCCTACAAGACTATGTAAAAGTACAGGTTACATGAATTTTATGCTCGAGCGAAGAGTCTTGCAAAATAGGGTTCGCTCGAGTGCGAGTTTGGCCGTTCGAGCCACCGTGCAAATCTCAGCAAAACTTCTGGGAGCTAAATTTTCACACTGCAGCGAGACTTTTCTCGCTCGAGCAAACAAGTCGAATTCTGGAATTTCTAGAATTTTGTTTGAAGTTCAAAACACACTCCTAAACGCCCAAAGCTTGCAAATTAACACCAAAACATTGGAACACATTGTCTATCATGTGAACAAAGGTAATTTGAAACCAAATGGGCTAAACTCATGGTCCATTCCCCAAATCGTTTCAAGTTTTTCTTGCCAATTTCAAAATTCATGCAATCGTGTTTCATACCTTCATAACTCGTGCATGCATGTAAATTATTGACTCTAATTCTATTTCAAATGGTACAAATGATGCTCAAAATCATGAAGCTCCACAAAATTATGCATGCATGTGTGATTTGGTACTCAAATCTTCATGATTATTCGTATTCATGGTAATCCTCTACATGCATGGGGATATTGACTTCAAATTCATCACACACCATTCAAATATTGTTCTTGATTACCAATTCTCTTTGAATTCACATAATTATAGGCTTAAACTCATGGATTGAGGGTTGATTACTCACCTTGAAGCTCCAACCCTTCCAATTATAGCTAACTCTTGAGGTAATCAACCTAGTTCTTGAGCTCTTTTGCAAAAATCTTCAAGGATGAGTCCTCTCCCTCTCTCTCTCTCTCTCTAAATTTGGCCCACACACTCTCTCTCTCTAGAGGTGTATTTCAGATTTTGAGCTCAAAAGAATAAACTCAAGTGCGTAAAGGCCATTTATATATGCTTGCCTAATCAAGTTTGATTAATGCTAAGTAATTATGCTTAATTTAATCAACTCAATCTAATTATTTTGATCCGAATCAATTTTTAATTAAATTATACCATAAGCTCTAAAAATCACGCTAATGACAATGGTGCAGACAATTACACTTTCTAACGCTCTTTACAGCCTTTGGTTTAAATTTTATAACAGAAAAATGAACAAATTTTCCTACGATGAACAGATACATATTGAGGAACACATATAATCATATAATTAGCACTGAAGATCATATCAAGCATATAATTATAAGGACATTTAAGATTAATTAGCATAACAAAGGGTAGGGTTGTCACAGGTAACCCATCCATCTTTGAACCTTATTTCCCAAGCTTTTGCCCTTGTGTTTCCCATCTTTTTCTCACACCTTACCTAGACTCCCTAAACCAAATTTTTGGGTTCTTTACTGAGGTTATTAAGCTTGAATTTCAACTCTTGAGGGTGGGAAGCTGTTGGTTTGAAACTCAAAGTGTTACTCATCTTTAAGAGGTATAACTCCTAGATCTTTTGCACTACTTCTTTCCTATATTTTCTTACTATTTTTGGATTGTTTTTCAACTATTTTTATGGGTTGAAACTTGAGGCTTAAAGCTATTGAAGGTAGAGGGGTAACCCACCCTTCTTTGAACCTTATTTCCCAAGCTTTTGTCCTTGTGTTTCCCATCTTTTTCTCAACTTTTTACCATTGATTTTTAGAGGTTTTTAGAGGCTGAAAATGTTGTTTTGAGGTCTCAAAAATGGACGGGGTAGCCACCACTCCATATGCTTGTTTACTATCTTCATTTCTCCATTGTTTTAGCGAACCTTTTCAAGCTTTTTCATGTTATTTCCAGCACTGTTTTTAGCTATTTTAGTACTGTTTTACGTTATTTATTTCATTTATGCTTTGTATAGTAGTCTTGTAGTGTAGTGGTTCTCATAGACGTGGTGGTTTAGGCCTCAGCCACCAACCTATTTGAGTTGATTGCATTTATTTCACGCTTTTCATACTTATGTTCACACATAATCATCTCTGCACTCTCGCTTTTCGCTTTTTGTTTCTTCGAGAGTTGTTTTCACCGAATGTTGTTTAAGTTTGAGAAAGAGATTCCTCCATACTTAATGGTTTAATCTCTTTGGAAGTTCATCACCAAGGCATGACATCTCTTTCATGCCCAAAACAACTTCTTGTTTGACACTTCTCTCCATTTAGTGGACTTAATTCTCATTCTTGGACTAAAATGACTAAAAAATGGAAAGGTAATTAAAAGAGATTATAAATTGGACTAAAATGAAATGACAAGATAACAAAATCAACTTGGGTTCAATCGGAGGTTAATTCAACCCATTGAGTTTTGAGTCATTTATTGAGCTTTTGTCCCTTGATCCATAATTCATCACACAACGAATTTGTGTCGATTGATGGTTTACGAATCAAGCCTACCTATCCTTTGATCTATTTGATGATAAGGAGAGGTAGGGTGGAGAAACTTCCTCTGAAAATACTCTGTTTACACTATGTTTCTTATCTGTTGCAGTGGGGAAATAACAAAAGCTAGTGACTGGTCGGCCACTTCTTTTGGCTGGCCGGCTGGCCGGCCACCACTTTTCAGCCAAGCAGTGCCATTTTCCTTGCAAAACAGACCAAAGGCTAAGGCAAAAACAATTCAATTTTCTGACTGCAAAACAAGAGTATTTTGGCAGTTAAACAAAGGGCATTTTCGGGTGGAAAATGCACATTCATGCATGAGTCATTCCTCACTTCTTGGGGATCATTAACTTATGTTTAGCAGTGGGCTTGTAATAATTAATTACTTAGCTCATTAATTCCAAATTGTAATTAATTAGTTAGTTTTTGTCTTAATTCGTTAGCGTAGCTAATTAATTTTGGGTTATAATTAATTAGTTAGTTCTAATTTGTAATAATTAGCTAGTGTAGTTGATTCATTTATTTTGGTAATGTAATAGCTAGTTAATTTAGTAATTAGCGCAAGGACAAAAATGTAATAATTTGTATGTCTTATAACTCCCATTTTTTTCTCCTTTTTATTTACCCGCTTATGATGGATAGCATAGAGCATCATGTTTCTTTTAGCATAGGCATTCATTTGTCT